TATTATAAACATCAACATGATTTTCTGTTAAGCTACTTCAAATAATGTGCATATAGGCAATACAAATAAATTTGACCTGACTTAAATGCTAGAATTAATTTTCATAATTTGGTTTATTAATCAAAATTGTAAATATTTGTAAGTAAACACAGGAAAGATTAGGCACAGACAAAAAGAAAATAACACACAAAAAGTATACAATAAAGTAAAAGCATTTTTATAATATTTCTAGAAAATGCCACATAACACATTAGTTAGCATTAACAGAGTACAAGTTGGCACTAGCTAGTCATTGTTAAAGTTATGTATATGAGAGACACAAATGTTTTGTAGAATGACCCAGCTGGTTTCTATGGCCAAATTGGTAAGTAACATTTTTTATTATCAATAAACTATGCAAATCTATTTTCATGGCAAAAGTAACAAATGCTTACTGTAGTTTTTAGTTCAGTGAACTAGATAATACTGTTGGCAATAAATGTATCGGCATATGTTACGTTTGTGGTCCAGTTTGAGAGCGTAGTTTTATTTATTTATAGATTTCGGAGCTGATATACTGATTTGATGACCTGTTGGTTCCAGTTTTATGAGACGTGGCTCACAGGGAATTACACACACCAGTCTTAATACCATTAGCTGAGATCATTAACTTCTGTTCTGGGGTAGATTTGTGCCAGTGAGTGACATTTGCAGAGGAAGGGAAAAGTGAATAAGACAAATGTGAAAAATAAAACGAAATACCAATAAGTCGAGTATTTGTTTTAAAACAGCAAAAAAAAGAAAAAAAGATACATTCATTGTAACTGAATATGGAGAAGGGCGAACACTACAATTCTACAAAATCTGTCCTCATGTTCCTTTAAAATTGCACATCTTGTGATTCTGAGCTTTGACGACCCATATGTAATTGCTCTCCCATAGTAAAAACTAGTGCTGTCAAAAGATTAATCGCGATTAATCGCATCCAAAATAAAAGTTTTTGTTTACATAATATATGTATGTGTACTGTGTATATTTATTATGTATATATAAATACACACACATACAGTATATATTTTGAAAATATTTACATGTATATACATTTATATATTTATGTTATTATATTTTATAATATATATAAATATATTTAATATAATTATATAAACATAACATATTTTTCTTAAATATATACATGCATGTGTTTGTATTTATATATACATAATAAATGTGTACAGTATACACACATATATTATGTAAACAAAAACTTTTATTTTGGATGCGATTAATCGCGATTAATCGTTTGACAGCACTAGTAAAAACCTCGTTCCTGTGACGTGCCGAGGTGTTTGGCCAACAGGAAATAAATTGTTCGGGCTTTGGGCTTGAGCGGCCCTTTTATCGGCCACTGACCTCACTCCGTTAACCAGCTGGAGCTGCAGCAAGGCTGTAATTCCCTAATAAGGGCGTCTATACCTCCCAACCACCCTCTGAACACTAAATTTGAGCAAGAAGGAGGTCTGGCAGCCGGCCGATCCTCCACATTCCCATAATCATTTAGTAAGGCTCCTGACTCCACAGCTAGTGTTCAATCCATTCTCCACATTTAGAGTATGTTTATAGTAGAGGAGAAAGGTATAAGTTATTAAAAGCAAGTGGTTGAAAAGGAGATAAAGAGTGAAAGAAGAGACTTGGGTGATGACTGTGATAAGTGCACTTTCTGCAGAGAGAGGTTGAGGTGAATGTTTAGTTTACAAAAACAGAGTGAGATATACAACAGTACAATAAAAAAGGCATATAAAATCATGCCTATATATATAGTATATAGGCATGATTAGCATATATATTAGTATATATATTCTGAAAACAGCTTTTGTGTGTGTGTGTGTGTGTGTGTGTATGTGTGTGTGTGTGAGAGAGAGAGGATTTTCTCATTAGCTCTCAAATCTCATTTGCACTACTATATAATCAAAGTTGCAGCATCACAATCGGAAGCGTTTGACCTTATGTGATATTAATCCTGGCACAAATATAAAGCTTTGCCACAGCTGAAGATTTGCAGTGAACAATGTGAATTCATGAAACATGAGCATAAAAGATTTTGTTTCTAAAATCATTCCTTTCCATAATTATGTACAAACAACAATTGTATAATCTATACAGGATTTACACATTCTACCTACTTTCACGAATAAAGTCTATTTTATGGAAGAGAATCAATATTCTACTAAACTTTTCATTTTGTTTTCCATAGAAGAAAAAAGTCATGTGGGGAGGAAATAATGACAGAATTGATATTTTGGACTATACCCACTATACTATATATATTTTTTTGTACTGAAAAGTAAGAGAGAGCTTCACAACACCACACTGGTTGATCTCAATCAATGAGAATCCGCCTCTGCTTGCATTGTGTCCACCCATTCGCTCAAAAGCAGAGAGAATACTGGTCCTCTGGTCCTGCAAGTGAACCTTACACAAAGCACAAGCCACATGCACAAACCCTTTTCATGCAAAATAAATCAAAAGTGGCTTTGGGGTAGGAATATAAATCAGAGGGCTTGGGTTATGTACAGATGGGTGAACCTAACACTCGCCCCAAGGAAGACACTCAGCATGTGTGTTTGAGTGTATAGGTATATATTTATTTCGGACTGAGTGTAGTTGTATATATGTGTGATTGAATATGTGCGTGTGATCTTTCAGACCCCAAGGGGCTCAAACTGCTGGACATTTTGATGTTGCTTATTTTAATGTATAATGAGTTTCTACTTTACAGCGACGCAGCCAAGTGTGTGTGTGTGTGTGTTTGGAAACGTGTTTGTGTTTAGACTGTGGACAAGTTTTGTTTGGACTATGTCCCACCAAAATCTGCCACTGCGTTGTTTATGATTTAAAATATTCCTTATAAGGTGTTTGCTGTTAGCATGGTTTGAATTTATTATTATTATATGTCTGAAGATAATAATATTTTATGAATGTTTAGACATTACGAGAGTTCCTTCATACCACTAACTAAAAAGTGCAATTCAATTACCATGTTTGCCATGCTGTGTAGTATCTTGTAGTAGTTTGAAGTATCTTTGTATCTAGGTGCAAATCATAGTATTTCTTATATGATTTCATTATTTTACTATGGTACCACCACAGTAATTTGCAGTACCACACAGTGGGCCTCATTTATCAATCTAACGTAGAAACGAGCGCATATCCGTGTGCACAAATCAACTTATGACAGAGTTCACGTGTGATTCATGAAACATTTGTATGCCGCCAATCTCATCGTACGAATGATCGCACGTTGATAAATGTGGCGGCAGAAAACAATCATCATTTGAATATCACTCCCCTAAAAACAACCTGGTTTAGAAGCCTCACCCCTAGAGTTTACGACACGGAGAAACGAAACCCGGCCAAAAAGAGAAAGTAATCTCATGAAAGAGAAATTGATCTTACTCCAAAAACACCCGTTAACCTTGTAATTGCAAACAATTAGGCTACATTCATTTATGTAATTTATATGTATATTAAAATACTCGTAAATATAAACAGCCTATTTAGTTCCCGTCACTCTACAACAAATATTTTAAATTTAACGGAATTCAGAACAGAACAAGAATGAAAAATAAGTAGTTACATCCGTGTAAAATCCTTCACATGCGCAAAAATGTTTGTTTGGGCACTGCACGCTGATTTTACAGAGGACCTTTTAAAATAAACAGCGTAACTTTTATATTGTGTGTGATCCTATTTATTTTATTCTTTTATAGACTTAATTTCTGTTTTTCTCCTTTCACAGAAGCGCTGCAGGTGCAAGATGCGACGATTGAATCCTCATGGTCTTGTTTATGCTGCTATTTGCGCATTTAAAGCTAAAGCCCTGTACAATGAGATTTGATCGTAGCCACCGCTCACGTCCATATTGATAAATTCCAAGTTTTTCGTTGAAACGACCGTACGCCCAATTTTCTGTCGTACATTCATTTCGTAAATGAGGCCCAGTACCTGCATTAAAACATACAATACAAATGTTTTTAAGATGATGGTTTATTTATGCTTTTCCACACAATATATCTTGCTTAATCACTATTTTAAAGGCATTGTTTATAATTTTTTGACTGAACTAAAGCATAAAAATACCATAATATATTTGCAGATTTTTAGGAAACATGCTAAGTTCACATATTTGTTTCTTCAACAAACAATGCTACAGTCAGTTATTCTGCCAGATGCAAAAATTGGAAGTGACCTGATGGCCTACACAATACAACACATTGAAAGCACTATAAGCCTCAATTTCATACCACTTTTGAGAAGTACAGTGACCGTACCATGGTACAATGATGGTATTACCATATCTCTCAATATATACACTACCAAAGAATTGTTCCTTCACATAATAACACAGTACTAACAAAAAGTCTATTGTAATACTAAGCTCCTTCTTTGTTAGTTGTATGAAGGCAGACTTGTAGTAGCTGAACATTCATAAAATATTACTCTCTTTATGTATTTAATATATGCATCAAATCATGCTAACAGTGAAAACTTTATAAGGAATCAGTTAAATCATAAATACACAGTAGTAATAGTGTTTTGATGTGCACTTATATAATGAATTGTTGCCGTATTCATATACTACGGTATTTACTTGGTATTCTAAGATACTTGAAATAATAAATGGCAGGGCAAACATGCACTTTTAGGTACTTTTTAGGTATTAAGGCACTCTTGTAATGGCTAAACGTTCATAAAACATTACTATCTTCAGGTATTTATTATATCCATCAAAACATGCTAACAGCAAAAACCTTATAAGGACTAGTTTAAATCCTAAATAACCCAGTAGCAGATTTTAGCAAAATATATTCCAAACAAGATTTGTCCTGTCTAAACGCAAACACGTTTCCAAACACACACACACAAGCATAAATAAGTAAGTAGCATATTTTAGCCTCGTTGGTACCTAGACCAAATACCAGGGTATTTTTGGTTATTGTCTAAAGTGATATAGGATGACTTACCTTGGCTGCTCCGATCTGCTCTTTCCGGAATCTCTCCAAGGGTGTGATCAGAACATCATCAGCATTCTGTATCTGCAAACAGTCAAGCACAGATGCAAGGTATTTCATGAGAAAACCGTCTTCATTAAACTACATTAACTTCTGTGAGGTTCACAGCTTGAATTAAAGTTAGAAGGCACATGTAATATTAACGCCAAAAGCTGAGAATTTTAACAATCTCACTTTTATGAGCAAATTTGTGGTGCGAGTTTACATTTCTGCTTGTGAGAACATTCACACCAACACTTCAGGAGAGCAGTAATGATTAGTATGATAAAACTTCATTCATCAGTATTCATTTAATGAGAATTCCAGAGCACACTGCTGCAGTACACTCCACGACTATTAAAATTAGGAAAATTAGCAATAATATGAACACTGTGAATTTGAGCAAATGGTTTTTTGTTTTAAACAGGCCATGAAACACACCGACGTTGTCAGAGCCGAGAGAAATATGGCCCTCAACAAGCAGAGAAGGAGTTTTACGTCCACAGACACAGTATGAAATATGTCTCTATATCTCTATATCATGCGCTCAAAAAGCCCCTCACAGCACACTGACAGAGATAGCAGGAGACTCTGTCAGTTACAGCATCAGTCTGTGCATGTTTGTTCGTCTTCACTGTTCCAGATCACAGGGTGTTCTGGGTGTTTGCTAGGCAGACGTATAATAATTACAGATAATGCTTAAAGTAAACTTTATAGAAGAATAAACATTCCCTGACACAGTTTGCACAGGTATCACGAAAGGCATCTATTGTGCATGTGTCATAACCAGAATATTTGTGAAAGCCAGAAGCAGCTTTAACTGTACAGAACCTTAAACTGCATGCATGCATTTTAAGATTGTTCATGTTGTGCCCAAGAACAACTGAGAGCAGGATCCTAATTCTATAAAGGTCAGCGGTGCCTCTGCACATGGTTGATGAATTATGTCTATGATTGGCTTCCTGTAGTGCTTTTTGTTGCACAGCTGAATCAGCCTGCTTCTGAACATGCTGTTCATTCCTACAGGCATGTCATGGAGGGGGTGGAGAGTGCTGTCCATGATGTTGTCCAGCAGCTTTGACATCGTTCTCCTCTCCTCTACAACCTCCAGATGCTTCTGTTCCTCTCCAGTTAAAAAATATGCTTTCTTGATGAGCTTGTTCATCTCCAGCATTACTCCCAGAGCCCCAGCTCACTACAGTGTAGAACAAGGCAGTCACATCAACAGACTGAAAGAACATGTGCAGCTACATACACCTGAGAAAAACCTGAGATTTCATTGCTCTGGCCCTTTTTAAAAGGATGAAGAGTCTCAGTGTTTTTTATCCAGTCTGCTGTCAATGTGAACCCCAAGGTTTCAAACCAGGGATCTATGATATGATATTATATTAAACTGTTCCAGTCCTTGTTTCTGATTGGAAAATAAGCAATCAAATAAACATAGCTTTAGAAATAAATATTTATTTAAATAATTAAATAATAATAATTTATGCATTTAGCAGACACTTTTATCCAAAGCGACTTACAGTGCATTCAGGCTATACATTTTTTACCAGTATGTGTGTTCCCTGGGAATTGAACCCACGACCTTTTGCACTGCTAATGCAGTGCTCTACCACTGAGCCACGGGAACATTGTTCAGCATAGAATTTATTACACCTAAACTTATAGGCTACAGTTGCCATGATTTTTTTTATCAGCTGCTGAATTTGAATTGGTATTTACAGACCGTTTATTGCAGCTCGGAGATAGCATGAATGCATTTACACTGCAATTTTAAATAAATAATTCAGTGAGATTATTAATGGGTTTTAACAGTTCACCCAAAAATGAAAGTTCTGTGTTGCATGGAGATGCACAACAGTTCTGCTGTGGCTTTATAAATAATATTTTCGTTGGCAAAGTTGAGCAAAAACAGACAACAATACTGTGTCTAAAATAATTAACCAACTTCTTATTAATTAAACTCTTGTATAAAATGTATATCACATTTGCATTCTCGTTGCTCATGTGATATTGCTTAACTATATGGTATGATATACATCTGAAACAAAAACCCATACAGGGGCATTTTTGCCCCAATATCTTGAACTTCACCCTATAGGCTACATCATGCAGTGATTTCTTACCCTGCATCATAACATTATAAATACAAAAAGATATCCTAATATAGCAATACAGAATGGATGAATATTATATTATATTATATTATAGTATATTACAGTGTTTAAATGCAAAAATAAATAAATAAGTTAAAGTCCGCGTGAACTGGAAGTTGAACTTCATTTCAGTATAGTGATGTATTTCCAACTAAAACAGAATATTGAATAGACGGCAGGGTTTTATTTTAGCGCTCCTCCTCTCCATCTCTCACTCATAGCAAACTAATGGTTGGAGGAGCGTGGATAAGCATATTCTGCCCAAGCCATGCCATGGCCCAAGCATCAAACTGACGTCATCAGAGCAGGAATGCCATTCCAGAGCGTAAGCAAATGTTGAGATTTTGATTAAAGATTACCAAGACAAACAATTTTTTCAGTGGATTAACTTGCATGGATTAATTGTTCACCTCAAGACTAACAATGTACGCTAACAAACTAAACAGAGTCAATTTTGATTTCATGAAGACTTGTAAAAAATATATGTAAACACAGGAAACCAGAATATATAAGCTACATCAAAGCAGCAAATATACCATGTATTTATGTCATGTCTTTTTAATGCTAATTAAATACCGCTCACACAATTTTCCTTCAAGTACATTTCTGCAGTGCATTGCAACTGCCATTGAGATGAATAGGAATACAAACAGATATTTCTCTCTCCACGTATTATAAACCTCCTTGCCCAAAACATGCAAACATTCCAGGTCAGGATGCACATCTGCGTATGTGGAGCAGACCTGCCGTGGCGGTGTGACATGACACTCGGTTAGATTGACAGAGTCATTTCGCACCGTGAGGGTGTGTGATAAAGCTATAACACAGCACATAATACCTGGTCTAATTTTAGAGAGACCTTTCTCCTCCACCCTCTCTGGAGAGCGTCTCTCTCTCTACCCATAAATCAAAAATAATTGTTTTCATTGTCTCTAAAACCCCCTGAAACACACGGTCACCCTCACCTTTGCCTGACAAAGGCACACAAACCTCATCTACATCCGAACGCTCGGTGATTAGCCGCAAAAAAAAAGCACTGCTTCATTGGTATTCAAAAACGGCCCCCCTGAGCCTTGAATGGAGAATTTCGAAAGCGTAACTTTATCAAGGAATTACTGGTTAGATTAATACTCCGACACGAGAGAAGAACTGCGATGCGAGCATCATCCCTACGGCTAGTGGAGACGATAAACGCTAAATGCGGCTAACTGGAAAGTAACTCAATAACTACTCCAATTTCCAGCTCATTCCTTGATTATTATTTTATGACCAATGAATAAAGCATGTGTATTCAAAACTCTGAACAATCCGTAGGGCACAAACAGTATCATCCCTTAGATCTGAAAGGGATCCGATCTATATGATTTTAATGCATGAGTTGAATCAGGACACCTTGGCTGCACTTTATTAGCCGTTTGGAGTGGAAAGTCTTCACGGCTGATTTCATACCGTCTTAACTTCCCTGGCTGTAGAGCAAAACATCCTGTGCTGCAGTGCTCAGACACTGTGACTAATCTGAATCTGAATGACTTGATATCAACAGTGAAGGTTTTCATTGCATTTTTTCCCTCTGTAGTTGTGGAGGCAGTTCTCAGGACACTTGACCTTTCGAATTCATTTCGGGATTAGCTGCTGTAATCATCCTTATCTGGAATGGCCTGTCTTGACGGGGCCTTTGAAGAGAGTCTCACTTGTAGGGATCACATGTCACCGGAGACATACCAGGGACATAAAAAAAAGCTTAAATCCAAAAACCAATTGCTTTATCATGCGGCAAGTTTATGTAAATCATACACGCAAAAAGTTGGAGTAAATAGATTTTACATTTCACTCCTTGGAACTGTTTAACGCCCCAAGAGACGTCATGCCACGAGGCCTAAATACAATGCTAAAAAGATCTGAAAAGCACAAAAAAAAAAAAAAAAAAGAATAAAAAAAAAAAAATCTAAAGCATAAGCACAAAGGAAAACAGTGTTTCTGTGAATAAATATAGATACTTTATCGCTTTTTGTCATATTATTGTGAGTAGTATGGTTAAAATAAACATGTTAAAAAAAAAGAAAAAAGAGTTGGAACATATACATTTCACAGTACATAGTACTTTTAGATATACAGGTGCATCTCAATAAATTAGAATGTCGTGGAAAAGTTCATTTATTTCAGTAATTCAACTCAAAAATACACGAGTTTCACAATTTGAGTTGAATTACTGAAATAAATGAACTTTTCTATGACATTCTAATTTACTGAGATGCACCTGTACATGCAAATGTGTGTGGAAAAAGAACTAACTCAGTTCCTACTTTTTTCTTGCATATAAACTGAAATACATATAAAAAGTATTCTGAAAATAACCGAAAATGAAATATTCAATAATTAACTAAAAAAAAATTGAGATGTATATCAACAATTAAACTGCATATAAACATCACTAGATATGAGAGTTCAGAGACATCTACAATTATACATTTTAATGAAACACTAAAGAAATCAGTCTGTTTTTTAAAAGCACTGAAAAATATATGAAGTTGTTAGCAATCAATACTTTTACTTAATCATATGATAGACTCATCAGCTCTTTCAAGTTACTCATAAAAACTTTTCATAAGAGATCAAAGCAAATGCCTACAAGGAACAAAAGCACCTGGTTCATCCCGGGCATCTGAGAACAGTCGGCAGTGATCTATATACGACTCTAATTGGCGTCAGTGAGGTTGACTGCAAAAATTTGCTTTGAGCTGAAAACCGAATGTCTGCTGAATTCATTTGGATGGCGTTAAACAGATCTCACAGCACGCATGCCACCGGTGAACCTAAAGAGAGAAGGAAATCCATTTTGGCTCTGCAGCGTTACCCATAAGGCATTTCACCAGCAAGGTACATCTA